AGGGGTGGTTTGGCTAGGAGGCTAGGCTAGTAAAGCACTTAAATTTGCGTCACGATCCTCTAGAGTAAAAAATCTAGAGTGATTTCCTAGGGTAAACAATCCAATTAAAACTCACCAAAACGACATTTTTTTGGTGAGTAAGTTGGGAAAAAAAAAACCCCCCACTTTTCACCTCTGCATGCCGATTTCAACCTCCGTTCATCGGAAAACTTCACCGCTGGCACCGAAGACCTCCTATTACCGGTGAGAGCATCATCACCTTCACCATTTATTTTTTCCATTTTTGCAATCTGTTTAGTTTCGGGAATCAATGAGGGTTTTTGCTGCTTCCACAAATCCATGCTTCACGATTCTTGCTTCCATGGTTGTATGTATTTGATTTTACTAGATTCGATGTATTGCTTGTTTGTTTAACAATTCACCTTCATAAATCAACTCTTTCAAAATTTATGCCCTGTTTATATGTTTATATGTTCGCAGATCTATGTCTTCGTACTAGTTTTAATGGTTTTGATATACTATTATATGCATAGATCTATATATTTTTACGAGTGTTTGATAGTTTTTATGTATCTATATATTCATGGATTTATGTATGTGTACTAGTACTAGTGTATACATGCCATAGACATACTTTCAGTCACAAAAAAAAAAAAAAACAGAGGTTGAAATCGGCGTACAGAGGTGAAAGAGCTTCACTGCTCTCTTCTTCTCCTTCCTCCTCGCCTGCTCCTCCTCTCAGCCCTTCTCTCTCTCTCTCTCTCGCTAATGCTTCATATTTGCAGGATCGTATTCGTCATTTTGAAAGAAAGCTGTTTTTTTTTTTTTTTTCCCAACTTACTCACCAAAACGATGTCGTTCTGGTGAGTTTTAATTTCAACTGTCGGATTGTTTACTCTAGGAGATCACTTTAGACTTTTTACTCTAGAGGATCCTGACAGCTTAAATTTAGTTATGGTATGTGGTTGTGTGAAGTATGACATGGAAAATGATATGAAAAATCTAGAAATTCGCTAGATATTGATTTGTGATTATATATCAATTTAAAGTAATAAAACAATCTCAATCAAACAATTAAGACAAATCGACACAACGATTTTAATGTGGAAAAATCACAATTGGAGCACCTCCAATTGTGATAAAAAATCACGAGCAACAGCTACAAAACAATCCACTAAGAAGATATAAAGGAATTACACAGGTATACTCTCAATTACCTAGTGAATCCACGCCCGAATTGAACCAACCCCTATGTGCCTCTTCCAGCCTCGTCTTCACCTCAGAATTGTCTTGACAATGAGTCACTCTAGAATCCACCAAAGCTTCAAGCTCAAATTCTTCAGAATCCACCAAAGAACAAATCTCTCTTTTGTATAGAATGAACAAACAAACCTTTGATGTATTCTTCTTAATCCATGAGTTGAATACTCAATTAAACATCAAAGAAAATTAGCAAAATATCCCCAGATATAAACCTTAATATCCAAAAAGAAGATCTGAAGGAGTAATCCTAAAATCTGACAGAAATACGTACTTATAGAAATCTAGGACTGCGAAGCTCGCTCGAGCGAAGACTCTCTTGCTCGAGCGAGGATTCGCTCGAGCGAGGAACTGAAAACGTGTATTTTCCATAAGTGGCTTCGCTCGAGCCAAATAACCTGCACTCGAGCGTAAAATCATCATTCTCAGGTTTTTTTACAGACGCAGCCTTCGCTCGAGTGAGGACTCCTTCGCTTGAGCGAGCAAGGGCGGATAAGCAACTTCGAATGCAATTTTGCATTTTGCTTCGGGGGCACTGCCTTTCACCCCCACCAGGGCGTTGCCCTTGGACCCGCCAAAGGGCGCTGCCCCTTGGCCCCCCGCGAGCTGACCGGGCAGCTCGATCCCCGTCATAGTCAGCGAAGTGGCAATCTCGAAAGAATTAACATCACAAACTTCTCTTCAATGCACAGTTCGGGCTGGATTCGCATCTAAGTACTTATAACCTCATTGAAATAAAAGAGCGAATAAAAGTACAATTGAAAGGAGTTTTGTCACACGGAATTGCCAAGAATATCTAACATGATAGACTTGACTTGAGGAAGAGGGTGGTAGTTGCCAATTATGGGGTTGACTGGCAACAGGTGGTTTCGCTTGTGGATGCAAGCCATGGGCCCTCTCTCTCTCTCTCTCTCTCTCTCTCTCTCTGTGGCCAGTTGGTACTATGAACATTGTCTCATGTTCAATGTTTTGGACATGCGGAAAGAATACCCTTCTTCTGTTTTTTTCTTGAGAAATGATGCCCACACTTCTCTTCTAGCATCTCACGCTTTTTTTTTTTTGGGTGATGAGTAAAATGTTAAAAATGTTGCTTTGGCTTTATGAGGATATGTTATTGACTTCTTTGGGGTTTATTATTTTAGCACTAATGCACAGGAGCCGAAGTTATTTGTGGGTATGATCCTCATCCTCATTTTTGCTGAAGCCCTTGCTCTCTACGGTCTCATTGTTGGGATCATTCTCTCATCCCAAGCAGGCCAATCTCGAGCAGATTAAAATAGCCAAGCCTGTGATTTTCTTGAATTCTTGAATTATAATCTAAAGTTAGAGTCATCGGCTGTTATGCTATTTTTAAATTTGATACTTTCATGGGATGCCATTTTATTATCTAAGTTCTGTGATGGATATTCTACAAATACGTCTATGATTGTTTTTATAGATGCCTTTTTAAAAAGATGTTATATTGCAAGGAACCTTTGTGAAGGTGTTGATTATTAAATGCGTTTCACTGCTGTGGTAATGTTTATATTTACTCTTCTATTTAAAAAAATAAAAATAAAATTTGCATACTATATATGAAAAAAGGTTTGACAACAATCTAAAAATGTATTAAGATTTTCAAAATTAAAGAAAATAAAAAAAATTATATGTTTTTATTTATTTATTATTTTTTTTGTGGAAGATTAAAATGCATTAGATAGAAACCATAATCATACAATAACACAAATCCAAAATTAGCAGCTCCTGCGTGAAGCTGTTTTTTCTGCCATCGACAAATATCCTTGTCAAAATACTTATCCGGGCACCGAGATAAATTATTAATAACAACAAAACAATTATCTATTACATTTTCTTGATTTTGGCCCTCCATCCTCAGTGGTAAATGAATTTTCGAGCTTAGCCTAATAGCAGACCAATCCAAATGATTAATCAACTATACAGTATGTGATGGATTTTCCACAATTTGTTCATGGACAGCCTTGTTTCGATGCAACCTATTAATATATGAAATATATATATATATACACACATATTATTCTTTGTATTCCATATTTAGATTATAGACTCCTCCTTATTAGGTATGTTCAAATCTTGCCTTACTCTCTCCCTTCCTTATTCTTTCCTTTCCTTATTCTTTCCCTTGTACTGTACTCCTCATAGTCCTATATATATACCCATAGCTTTCTATTGTAGACACATGAATTGAATACAAAATCTCCTCTTTTCTCTTTCTTGTCATATGATTATTCTGTTTTCACAACCAAATGCCCCAAAGGATTTTGACAGACTCAGCAATTGCATCCTTGTCCGGAGCTTGCTGGAGCCAAAATTTGATCCATTCCTCTACTAACATTGCCTCACCTGCATCAAAATCAAGACCAAGCTGAGAAACTGGCCAAATATGCTTGGAAAAAAGGCATTGAAAGCACATGTGTTCAGGCGTTTCGTCCGATTTTGCACATCGTGGGCACATCGGCTGGACATCAATACGATGGCCTCTTGAGATTGCTCGAACAGACAAGATTGTGATGTAATAATTTGCATAGGAACATAGCCCATTTAGGTGGTATATCGATATTTAAGTATTTATAAATTAGTTTGCTAAAAAGCATGAAAAAATTAAAAGCACTTATCAATTTTATGTAGTTCTATCATTTTTAGAGAGCATAAATAATTTTAAAAAATATATTTTTGATATTTAATTTTGTCAAATTATTTTTTTCTTTTTTGAAAAAGATTTGGAAAATCAAACCAAAACATGGCTAATGACTTGCACTTTTTACAATTTTAAGTATTTTTTGATCATTTTGATATGGAGTTGCAAATGAACTAAGTTGTTCGTGAGCTCGGCTCAATAATAACTCGGTTCTTTAAGTAAATAAACTTTAAGCCAGACTTTTAGATTCATTTAGTATATTATTACATTAATATTTGAATTTGTATAAAAAATGTGAGTTACATATAATAAAATATTTTTGTATCACGTGACTGTCAATATATTATTTTTTATTTAACTTTAAAAATAAGTTATCTTTTAAAGTAAAATTAAAACAAAAAGAGGCAAAGTGAAAAAAAAAAAACTAAATTTTAGGAGCCAAAAGTTAAAAAATTGTCAAAGATAATGGGACAAAATGTAAATTACCCATAAAAACGGAATTGCAATAAGTTGGAGCGTTGGACAAACAAAAGTTTGGGGTGAGTCTCACTCTCACTCTTGCTTCAGTCATCTCCGACACGAGCTCAATCTGTGCTTTCCTTTTTCTTCTAGACTCCATCTCCACAGGTATATATATACATTGTGTATTAATTTTGATTTGGGTTTTGCTAACAAATCCCTAGGCCACAAGTGAAAAATAAAAAAAAAAATAAAAAATACATACACTTTTTATTAAATTTAATACATTTTTTTTATTAAAATTAATACAACTTTTCATATATTTTCATGACACTTTTCAACATTAAATAATTCTTAAGGAACACTTATTAGTAAGAGTGAACAACGGTTTATCTGACCCGCACAATCCGTCCAAACCGACTATACCCGCACAAATCCGACCCTACCCGCATATATAAATAAGGCCGATGTGAATCTATTTTTTCATACAAAATCAAATTCGGGTCAGATCTGGCCCTACCCGCGAAACCGCATTACCCACCCGCAAATTATGTTTAAAATAAAAAAAATCTGATCTCGCATCATTTGTTGAATTCATTTTGGGCATCCTCCCTCTCTCTCTCCCCCCTCCCCCGCTCTCTCTCTCTCTCTCTCTCTCTCTCTACCCTACCCAGCTCTTTCTCTCATCTGGCCCGTCTCTCTCCCCTCCCCTCCCCGTCGCTGTCACCACCACCATCTCTTGCCTCTTGCTCACCATCTCTTTCATCTCCTCCCGTCGCCATCTCTATCCTCTCCTCTACCGTTGTTGTTGTCTCTAGCAGATCAACCTCGTTCCCCTACTCCATCGCCGCTCCGTCACCACCAGCCATGTCGTTGGCTAGTTGCTGTTGTCCCCTCCTCTTCTCCCCTGTCGCCATCGCCCACCAGATCTGGAGATGCCAGATCTGGAAGATTTACAGCACAAAAAAAAAAAAAAAAGGTTTCAATTAACAAAGGTACCTAGATCTGGTTTATTTATTTATTTTTGTTGTGTTTTGCTTTGCTGGTTTCTTCAGACTTCATTTATTTTTGTTGTGTTGTGGGTTTGCTTTGCAGTATGTTTTCATTGGTGTAACTTGTAAACTTGTAACTGGTATCATACCAGTGGTATGTGCTAAAGCCAAGCTCACTGTTTTAATCGTTTTGTTTTTTCATGGTTTCAGAAAATGGTGAAGGCCCTAACGTAAAAGCCTAAAAATATATATTTTTTTAAATAAAATAAAATTAATTCACAAACCGCCCGCACAACTGCATGACCCACCCGTTCAATCTGTAGCCCGCACTGCGGCAGATGCTGTTCCATTTTTTCCCAATCCTCACCCCATCGGGCGGGTCCATCCCGTCATCCGAACCGCACAGAGCCGATCTGTGACCACCCCTACTTATTAGTATTTGCCTTTTAATTTTAATTTTGATTTTAAATTTTGGATTTGGGTCTTGCTAATTGGTCGTCCTAGGGCATAAGTAAAAGGACAAAAAAGTGAAGAACACAATACATATTTATGCATTTTTTTATTAAATTTAATGCATTTTTATTAAAATTAATACATTTTTTCACATATTTTCATGGCACTATTTTATATACTTTCCAACATTAAAGGCTTGTTTGGGAATATGCTATTTTAGTTGATTATTTGACTTTTTAATTATTTTAATCTGGCTAAAAAAAAGTTATATTTGGGATAATAATTTTTGTTTTTTTACTTGATTTGATAGTTGTGAGTGAAAAAATGAAATGATTATTGATTAGATAAGACATTTTATTTTATGGATTATTTTAGCTAAATAACCTCTAGACAATAAGGCTTGAAACAATGCCTATGGTGCAATTGTTAGCACTGAATAGTCCGTCTTATGTTAACTTGGATTGGATCGTGATTTGGATACAGATTTGAAAACAAAAATAAAAAAATAGGGGAAATGTAGGTATAGGGTTTATTTCGTGTAACTTGCAATTGTTTTTTTTTTGTTGTAGCTATGTCTTTGGTGATTAGGAAGCCCCCTCCTCTTCCTTGGTGGCAATCACTCCGACACTAATTTGGGCTTGAGCATCTCTCCATTGGTATCTCGATTAGCACGCTATTGAGAAGCATTTTTTTCATGGCGACACAAAAGCGACAAGAGCATGGCGACTTGATGGCGTGCCTAAAGAGTATCGATGACAAGCTCGATTTGAATTGCCATCAAGTCGCCATCAAATCGAGCTTGTCATCGATACTCTTCAGGTGCGCTATCAAGTTGCCATGCTCTTGTTGCTTTTGTGTCACCTCGATAAAAATGCTTCTCAACAGCATGCTAATCGAGATACCAATGGAGAGATGCTCAAGCCCAAATTAGTGTCAGAGTGATTACCACCAAGGAAGAGGAGGGGGCTTCCTAATCACCAAAGACATAGCTGCAACAAAAAAACCAATTATAAGTTACATGGAATAAACCCTATACCTACATTTCTCCTATTTTTTTACTTTCATTTTCAAATCTCTATCCAAATCACGATTCAATCCAAGTTAACATAAGACGAACTATTCAGTCCTAACAATTGCACCATAGGCATTGTTTCAAGCCTTATTGTCTAGAGGTTATTTAGCTAAAATAATCAATAAAATAAAATGTCTCATCAAATCAATAATCATTTTATTTTTTCTCTCACAATTATCAAATCAAGTAAAAAAAACAAAAATTATTATCCCAAATATAACTTTTTTTTAGCCAGATTGAAATTATTAAAAAGTCAAATAATCAACTACAATAGCCTATTCCCAAATGGGCCTTTAATGTTGGAAAGTGTATCAAACAATGTCATGAAAAAATGTATTAATTTCAATAAAAATGCATTAAATTTAATAAAAAAATGCATAAATATGTATTGTGTTCTTTACTTTTTTGTCCTTTTAGCAAGACCCAAATCAAAATTTAAAATTAAAATCAAAATTAAAAGGCAAATGCTAGTAAGTGTTCCCTAAGTATTATTTAATGTTGAAAAGTGTCATGAAAATATGTGAGAAGGTGTATTGATTTAAATAAAAATGTATTAAATTTAATAAAAAGTGCCTGTGTTCTTAATTTTTTTATTTTTTACTTGTGGCCTAGGGATTTGTTAGCAAAACCCAAATCAAACTTCAAAATTAAAATTAATAAACAATGTGTATATATACCTGTGGAGATGAAGTCTAGAAGAAGAGAAAGGAACGCACTGATTGAAACGAGCTCGTGTTGGAGATGACTGAAGCGAGGGTGAGAGCAAGAGTAAGAGTGAGACTCTAACCCCCAAACTTTGTTTGGGCATAGCTGGTTGCAACCTAGCCCAAAATTTCAAAATTCTGTAGAAATTTTTTTTCAAGCCCAACCCAGCCTCCCAGCACAGTCCCAAATAAGGGCCAATAGTTTTTTTGTTTGTTATTTAGATAGGCAGCCCAACATAGCCCAATACTTGTCCAAAAAAAATAAATAGGCAGCCTAGCCCAATAGGTTTTATTTGTTTAAAGAACAAATCTTCCCTTGGGCATCAATAGCTTCTCTGACTCTTCTTTAGTTCATCTTTTTCTTTTTCCCATCGGTGGTACAGGTAAGATTTATCTCTGACAATTCATGACTTTGACCTTTTTCTTTCTTTTCTTCTTCTTCTTAATCTTAATTTGGTTGAGAATGGATTTGATTAACAATGTTTTGAAATTTTTCTTTATGCAACAAATATTATATTGCGCTTAGTTTTTTTATGATGATGCCTTGTTTAATGTTCTATATTGCTTTTAGTTTTTGAACTTTGAAAAAGTTTTTTTGGACATACATAAAAATAATGGAAGCCTAAATAAAAATTATTGAGGATATATATAAAAAACCTAATAGTTAAAATGATTGTGAATATACTCTGGTTTAATATTAAATAGGGCTGATTTTTTTAGGTTATAAATAATGGAACCTCCACCACTCAAAAAAGGCAAAACCATTTTCTCATTCTATCAATCAAAACATAAGTCTAGTAGTACAACATCTAATGTTGTTGAAACCTCATTTTCTGATGTGCAACCGCCTTCCATGCCTCAAGCATATATACCAAGCGAATTTGATTCAACTGTTATTGAACGGGATTTTGGTTTACGCTTGCAAATTTGTGAATATTCGGTTAATCAACAGGATGAGGTTAGACGAGCTTATGTGAACTTGGGGCCCTATCAACCTAAACTCGAGTAACCTAGGTCCTCATTTAGAAAGCAGAATCGCCAATTCCAACATATTTGGTTTAAACAATTTTCTTGGCTAGAGTATTCCCCTTCAAAGAATAAAGCATATTGTTTTTCATGCTTTTTGTTTGATCAGCCGAATAAGTCAATTAGTCGTTCTGCACTTGTTGATGAGGGGTTTAACAATTGGAAGAGAGTAAATGATGGATCCAAATGTGTTTTTTTGCTTCATGTCGGACTTGTATCTTCATCGCATAGTCATTGTGTTATTAGTCATGACAATTTAAAGAAATCTTCCCAACACATTGAAAAAGTGTTGAATACGCAATCAAAAGAAGAAATTTTGAAGAATCGAATGCGGGTAGAGGCAACAATTGAAACTATTCAAGTACTTGCTCTTCAAGGGCTTGGTTTTAGAGGTCATGATGAAAGCTCGACTTCATTGAATCAAGGTAATGCAATTGAATTTTTAAAGTTCAAGGCGAGAGGGAATGATGTACTCGAGAGCATTATATTAAAGAGTGCTCTACAAAATGCCAAATACACTTCTCTGAAGATCCAAAAGGAGATTTTGCATATACTTGCTAATAGAGTTAGGAATATGATTTTTGATGAAGTTGCAGGAGGTTATTTTTGTATTCTTGTTGATGAATCCCAAGACGAGTCTAAAAAAGAACAAATGACCGTTCTTTTGAGATACGCCAAGAATGATGGTTTGCTAGGCGAACGGTTCTTTGATACCGTGGGTGTTGAAAATACATCTGCGTTGACTCTTAAAAAAGGGATATCGAATATCTTTTCTCAATTTAATCTCCCTATTCAAAACATTCGTGGTCAAGGGTATGATGGTGCTAGCAATATGCGTGGCTAATGGAATGGACTTCAAGCTTTATTTCTTAAAGATTGTCCATATGCATATTATGTACATTGCTTTGGACATCGTCTGCAATTGGCCTTAATTGCGGTAGCAAAAGATGGGCCTAGTGTATGGCAATTTTTTTTTTTTCACTTGAGTTGTATTGTCAATCTTGTTGCTTCTTTTCCAAAGCGCCTTGGTGAGTTAAAATTTTTTCACAGGAGTGAGGTTGAAAATATGTTGGCTAATGGTGAGCGTCAATCTGGTAAAGAGGCCAATCAAATAGGTACCTTGTATCGAGTTGGAGCTACTCATTGGAGCTCGCATTATGACTCTGTTAAAAACTTGATTGGGGTATGTATGAGGCATCTTGTGTAGTTGTTGAAAGTCTCAAGAAGAGTACAAATCAACAAATTCGCTGGCAAGCTAATGGTATTTACAAAGTAATGAAGAGCTTTGAATCCATATTTGTCTTGCACTTGATGGACAACATTTTGGGAATCGTGAGTATACTTTGTCAAGCCTTGCAATAGAAAACTCAAGGCATCTTAAATGCGATGAAATTAGTCTCCACAATAAAAGCTCTACTTCAAAAACTTAGACAAGATGATTGGGATATTTTTCTTCCAACTGTGGTGTCATTTTGCAATTGACATAACATTACGGTGCATGATATGAATTCTAACAAGATCACATTACAATTGAGCATCATTATCACTTTGACATATTCAACTCTACAATTGATTTTGAATTGATGGAGTTAGAACACAGATTTAATGATGGGGTAGTGGAACTTCTTTCTCTTTGTTCGGCTTTGGATCCTAGTGGCAATTTTGGATATTTTAATGTGGATAATATTTGCAATCTTGTTGAGAAATTTTATCCCCAAGATTTCACTTCTCAGGACATCCATATTTTGAGATGTCAATTAATGCATTATAAGCTTGATGTTGTTTGTGACCCTGAGTTTCATAAAATATCTACCCTTGTCGATTTGTGCCAAAAACTATTTGTGACAAGAAAGTTCGAGCATTACACCATGATCTACAAATTGATTCGTCTTGTGTCAA